GCTTTGACGTCTTGATACGTTAACAAATGTTATGTGTGATACATTGGCAGGATAACCCAAGTATTAAGAACGTTGATACCAAATTACGGAGACTCGCCCAACCTTCTTACTCTCATCTCATCCCAAATCCCATCAAAACCGCCGCCCCTACCCCACCCTCGCCATTACCCACCCACAAATGAACATAACCACCTCCCCCTAAACCTCTGTCCCACCCATTCATCCACCCCTACCCACGACATAACACACAGTTACAACCCACCATACCAACGTCAAATCCTATTATCCATCTCTCCCCTCTACTCACACCCATCCTAATCCCATCCTAATCCATCCTAATCCCATCCTAATCCCTGCCCAAAAGCACCACACCTACAACCCGACATACCTCCTAACTAACCTAAATCCCTAGATCCCCATACCTACACCCACACCTCAACCCACACCTCAACCCACACCCCTACCCACACCACCACACACTCACCCCAGCCACCCCGATGTGCCTCTACGTGCCCAGGCGAGTGAAAAGACCTTAACCGATTTAATGCCTCATAACCTAACCAGAAATGAACAGACGCAAATGGCAGACAATGACATAAATTGTTTTTATAACTGATAGGGTTACTTATCCTTATGAATTGCACTCGGAATGTTGTGATTGAGGGCTTGTGTCTGTGCATGAGAACGGGTTATGGTAATGACTTCTGAAGTCCCATGTATCATGCAAACTGTACCAGCCATTACACGAGTAGATGCTCTGTCGTTGTGATGATCTGAATACTCCGCCTACTACTACACCGTCCACAGATACATCGACTACTTCATCGCCTTCACCGCCTTCTCCGAGTACACCATGTCCAGCTTTTACCTCCTAAAACCGCTACAACACCTCTACCGCCTGTGTAGCCTACACCTTCAAGCTCCTCACAGCGATATCCTGTTCACAAACCCTCTACACTATCGCTGCCCCAAGTTACAGCTCCCCACTGCGCAAGGCGGCTCACAACCATGCATGGAGTGGAACTCGCAACCAATTGACTAGACTGACATTTAGTCCAAGAAACAAAGTTTTTTATCTTCTTGAAAATGTAGATTTACACAATAAAGATGATAAAATCCAGCTGAACCCAGCTGAGCTGAGGCAATCTAGACTTGCCAAATCGTTCTAGACCTGAGTTGCACTCCTTTAAAAAAAAATCTTCTCTAGGGTCTGGAAGACAGACTACCGATTGACCGTTGTATTTACAAACAGGTGATGACTGCCGTGACACGAATACTCTTCCCCCATATTGGCTTAGAGGGCAGATTTCAAGATACCATCTTCATCATCTATACCGCCTACATCGTCAAGGCCGATTACATCATTTAAATCACCGGTTACCGGTTTACTTCTTTTAAGCCACCTTGAATTCTTACATCATAAGATTTTGAGTTCCCTTGAACGCTCACACAATAAGGTTTTAAGACACCTTGCACGCTTACATCTTAGAGTTTTAGTTCCCTTGAACGCTTACATCCTAAGGGTTTAAGCTCCCTTGAACGCTTACATCTTAGAGTTTTAAGCTCCCTTGAACGCTTACATCCTAAGAGTTTAAGCCACCTTGAACGCTTACATCTAAGCGTTTTAAAGTCCCTTGAAAGCTTACATCTTAGAGTTTTAAGTTCCATTGAACGCTTACATCCTAAGGGTTTAAGCTCCCTTGAACGCTTACATCTTAGAGTTTTAAGCTCCCGTGAACGCTTACATCTTAGAGTTTTCAGTTCCCTTGAACGCTTACATCCTAAGGGTTTAAGCTCCCTTGAACGCTTACATCTTAGAGTTTTAAGCTCCCGTGAACGCTTACATCTTAGAGTTTTAAGCTCCCGTGAACGCTTACATCTTAGAGTTTTAAGCTCCCGTGAACGCTTACATCTTAGAGTTTTAAGTTCCCTTGAACGCTTACATCCTAAGGGTTTAAGCCACCTTGAACGCTTACATCTTAGAGTTTTAAGTTCCCTTGAACGCTTACATCTTAGAGTTTTAAGTTCCCTTGAAAGCTTACATCTTAGAGTTTTAAGTTCCCTTGAAAGCTTACATCCTAAGGGTTTAAGCCACCTTGAACGCTTACATCTTAGAGTTTTAAGCTCCTGTGAACGCTTACATCTTAGAGTTTTAAGTTCCCTTGAACGCTTACATCCTAAGGGTTTAAGCCACCTTGAACGCTTACATCTTAGAGTTTTAAGCTCCCTTGAACGCTTACATCTTAGAGTTTTAAGCTCCCTTGAACGCTTACATCATTTAAGCCACCCTAACCCCTTCCATCTTGTAAGCCACCTACACCGAGGTCCCTCGTCATCGAATATTCACCTATATCTCCTGCACTGCCTATCACTAAAACTACCAACAGTCTCCGTGAAAGCGCCGTAATCGTTACTTGAATGTTAAAATTTGGGGATCTGAACTCCCGAGCTTCGTAATGATGATGAATTCGATTAAGATATATTGATTATTTTGCATAATCTATAAAAAAACGTCATAAAAAATGCCTATTGAAGTTGGAATAATCGGCAGCAACCCCTACAAAAAACATTCCCTTGAAAGAGTGAGTGAGTAGTTTATGGTCACAGCCGCACGAGAATATTCTCAACCAATCGCCACCTAAATACTAATCGCCATTTTATCTTCCGTTAGCACCGCGATTTGACATTCGTAAGCTCGTGTAGAGCGGAGGGTCAATGGGAATAGCACATGCGCGTTATCGTAATCGTTTTTCCGGGGTAAAGTTATCAAAATCATTTTATATTTTGTGCTCATTTGAGACATCATTCTCTATGCAGAGGCTCCATTTCACCGCGATACCTGCCCCATAAAATAGGCTGATATGGTTAAGGCGAGCGCTGCGTGTAGCTTGTATCCTATCAGTAATTCTGGACTGGTTGTTCCATCTTGAGGCGCTCTCTTTCCATCAACTCGGAGGCGCAGCTTGGACTACTAAACAGACAATAATCATGTCTAACCGTATAAAATAAAGTCAATTAAGGCAACTGTCACCTCCGTTCTCGGATAATCACCAGCAGATTCGATTCTCGGGTGATATACTGGGCAACGTCATTGGACGAAACAATGAAACAAGTTGTTGGTTTGGCATAGGCACAAACAAGGTTATAGTGTTTGGGGCAATTTGGCCATGTCGACCGCAGTCCTCCAACAGACGGTGGAGGCAAATATTGTCCTTACAATAATTCTATTTTTGTAGCATAGGAAATGCAATGAAGACAGGAAGGACTTATTGTCTTCAACGTCTGTATTCTTTTCGAATATCAGTTAATTATCATCGTGTTTCTAGCTGCTCTTCAGGGATATTTAAACGTTGCAGTATCAAAGGATTCAGCCTTTATTTTATGGAGTTCTATTTGTTTCTAGTTTCACACTTGTGTTTGTCCGGACTATTGCCGATTTGTTATAGCCCACTGAAATACCATGCCGCAGTTTAACAAGAATACCCCACTCAGATACAGTTTACTGACTTCCGAGCAGACAGGTCCTTGTTTTAGCCCCTTAATGCATACTGCCAGGCAGGGTAACAACAAGTACCATCTTTAAAGTGACCGAGCCGACCAGTCCTTGTGTAGCCGAGGGTCAGGTAGGGTAACAACAAGTACCATGTGTTCACGATATATGTTCGCTTGTCATGTGTAAACGTGTATGCCACTGGTCAGTTGTGCTGACAATTGTCACGTCCCGAACCCAATCACCCCAAAGGTCTACAGCCACTTGGAACATGACGATTTGGCAGTATTGGCCATTTCCGTCTGATAGCGACCATCTCAAGTCTGGCAGCACCTGAATCTCCCGTCCAAATCGCAATACCCCATCACTACCAGGACAACATCTTCAACAACGAGCCACTCCGGATCTAGCTGTCTACTGTTGGTTTAATTAGGAATCTGTGACGGTCTCTATCATACGGATTAACAATAAACCCAAACCAGGTCTTGAGGTCTTCAGTACAGCCAAACAAGCGAGAAATCTGAGCCACAGGTCCCTGTTTCATGCGAATGCCAATGCAAGTGCTTTGTCTCTATGCACGCTGACCAACACCAAAAGGCCTTTAATATGAACGGGCTTTGATCAAGATTGAGTTCCGTTATGGTGAACCGTAATAAGTTCCAGGAACATGTTCTTGTGTAGATTTGCACTCAGTGTCGCCAGTGCAATTGTAAGGAGTCAGGTGGCCATGATGTTTGAGGCGCCCTAATTCTTTGTGCAGAGTGGCGGCCCTTGTGACAGGGTCCGATAGGCATGGGTTTACATCTCAGATCCTTCGATTGTAATCCTTGGTCTGTCAACGTCATACGGAGTTCGTGGGTTTAAATAAAGTGTAAAATATCAGCGTTCTTTGTAATTTCACCAACATTAAGTTGCCACGTCTCGATACAACTGACTTTTTAATGTAAGTGGCGAAGGGCGGTGGGGTAGCCCAGTGGTTAAAGCGTTCGCTCGTCACGCCGAAGGCCCGGGTTCGCTTCCCTACAATGGTACAATGTGTAACGCCCATGTCTGATGTCCCCCGCCGTGATATTGCGGGAATACTGCTAAGTAAGAGCGGCGTTAAACCATACTCACTCACTCCTGGGCCAGTCAATCATACCTAACTACCTTGTCTTTTACGACCATGATTGAGTTCGCACGTCAGCTACATAACTGCGTGACAGCGTGGTGTCGGAGGACGGCCCAGGGTGAGGCGCGAGCAGGATACTAACACACCTTGAAACGCAGTCATGGCGAACCGGGATTCGAACTCGATCCTTGTGTTCTGACACGCATACGGGAAGAACCCTGCAAATCGACGTGCGGCGCGTCGACGACATTGCAGCCGTAACCTCTGGGGGAACAGGATGGTCTTGTACAAGAAAATGTTGTTAACGTATGTATACTACTCAAACGAATTTAAAGAACACCCGGTTCAACTTTTCGTGGTATATTTGTTGAGGACAAACAGTGTATATTTTAGACTTACCATGCTCCATCAAAGCAATGTAAATTCCACCTGCACACACACCGGCCTCACTTTTAACGCTGAAATATAATAAATGTTGATAAATAAACATAGATAAATTGTGTTAACTGAAACATTTATTTTAGCCAATTCTATAAATATTGAATCCAGCCTAGGCTCAACAATCCTTAAATGTTTAGCAAGACAGGACAAAGGGGTTTGTTGAAGGATTCAGTTATTTGATGAAAATACATATTGTAGCATTGCCAGTATTTGACTGGCGATGGTCGCGTGTGTTTCATTACGTTTTAAGTATACAGGTTCCTGGCCCACAGTGAAGTGAACGGCCCAGTAAATGCATTACTGAAAAGGAAACGGGATGACAGTTTAATGCATGAGGTGTAAGTGTTAATAAAACCTGACCCTATTTTTGAACCTATACAGTCCTTGCATCGTTTGGTCAGTGTTTAGTTTACTGTTATAATATTCAAAACATTTGAATATGTCGAGCAGCATGCAGCCATGATATTATCGATACCATACACTGTGTATATGAACATAATGACAATAATAAGTACAAGTAAAAATCATTTGATAATTATCTTCATTATTATCATACAATAATCCTCATCGCCATCATTATCATTATCATTTCGGTCATTGCAATTACCAGTTTTCCACACTGTTGATTATCAAATTCTGAATCACTTAAATGGGCATCTGTTCATCATCATCAACATCACATCCCCAGTATGGCATCCTATGACACCATGTGTTCGCAAGAAGGGTAAGCGCGCCCTATCCTACCGGAAGCACAAGCCATTCAAACAATTTGCATAAGAAGTAAGTATTTGAATCTTTAAAAACGATTCATATTTGCACTTGATTTTTTGTGAGAAGACAATTGTTACCGGAATTCTATTATATGGATATTTTTATAAATAACCTTGAAATGGTCATAGGTAAATAATTCCATGTTAAAAATAATATTAGTTTCTATGCCTTGTTCGCAGAAATCAAGCTACTCTCTCTCTCTCTCTCTCTCTCTCTCTCTCTCTCTCTCTCTCTCTCTCTCTCTCTCTCTCTCTCTCTCTCTCTCTCTCTTATATGCTACGTGAACCAACTTTCAATTTGTTCAGTCATCAGTTAAATATACACAGCCACAAAATGGCACACAGTGAGTGAGTGAGTGAGTGAAATATTGAATGAGCACGTCAAACCCTTCTCTGTATCGCCACAACCTCTATCGGTTGAACATCAGAATACATTTGAACAGAAAATACCTCAAACATAAAAATATCACCGGGACCCATTGCGTGGCAGTATCCCTGCCTATTCCCCTCCCACTGTTGATAGAAGCGACCAGCTGAACACTTTATGTATTTACAAACTAGCTTTGCCTTTCAATGTTCGTGTTTTACGCCCTGGCCTGCCTCTTTATTCTGCAGAAGCCCCTACTAAACTGACATCAAGAATCCAGCAGTCTCGGGCGCCTTCTGAGTCTTCCTATTACGGCACGGAAGAAAATTAGATACATTAACCACTGTTTTTTTCTTCCAAACGTCATCCGTCTTTGTCCAACTATGATTTGCTAAAAGGGACGCCTATGATCTGATATCAGTGGAAAATGAGCCCCTCAAATAGTCTGCTAAATTCGCCCCCTGGTACCTCAGAGGACAGGAAGCCTATAAACACTCACATCAATCACTTCCAGAGTATTATGTTTGGGATAACAAAAGTGTAATTATTAAGATCTTGCTTCTCCTTCTCTGCCAGCCACCCGGTGTCATGGGAGCAGGAGGCTGACGAAGTAATGGGTGGGTGATGCTATAATAATGTTATGAGTGATGGTAGATGTGGTGGATGTTATTACAATGTAATGAGCAATGGCAGGAGGATGTTATACAGTCGAACCTAGTTGTGTCCCGGTTGTCTCGAACTCATTTGGGAGTCCCAAGTATCCAAATTAAGCATACTGTTTCCTGATGTCACGAGCCCTGGTTAAGTCGAATCTTTTACTTACGAGGTCGACTGGAATAATGTTATGGGTAATGGTAGGATGATGTTATAAATGATGTACACAAACAGTTATAAAGTAATTATAGGATTGTGTTCAAACACAGAATGATGGTGCAGTAAGGGTAGGATGGTGTTATGAAGTTATAAAGTAATGGTGAGATGACGGTGAAGCAAAAGTAGGACGATGATATTAAGTTATAAAGTAATGGTTAGATGACGGTGAAGCAAAAGTAGGACGATGATATTAAGTTATAAAGTAATGGTGAGATGACGGTGAAGCAAAAGTAGGACGATGATATTAAGTTATAAAGTAATGGTTAGATGACGGTGAAGCAAAAGTAGGACGATGATATTAAGTTATAAAGTAATGGTTAGATGACGGTGAAGCAAAAGTAGAACGATGATATTAAGTTATAAAGTAATGGTAAGATGACGATAAAGAAAAGTAGGACGATGATATTAAGTTATAAAGTAATGGTGAGATGACGGTGAAGCAAAAGTAGGACGATGATATTTAGTTATAAAGTAATGGTGAGATGACGGTGAAGCAAAAGTAGGACGATGATATTAAGTTATAAAGTAATGGTGAGATGACGGTGAAGCAAAAGTAGGACGATGATATTAAGTTATAAAGTAATGGTGAGATGACGGTGAACCAAAAGTAGGACGATGATATTAAGTTATAAAGTAATGGTGAGATGATGGTGAAGCAAAAGTAGGACGATGGTATTAAGTTATAAAGTAATGGTGAGATGACGGTAGAGCAAAAGTAGGACGATGATATTAAGTTATAAAGTAATGGTGAGATGATGGTGAAGCAAAAGTAGGACGATGGTATTAAGTCATAAAGTAATGGTTAGATGACGGTGAAGCAAAAGTAGGACGATGATATTAAGTTATAAAGTAATGGTGAGATGACGGTAAAGCGAAAGTATGACGATGCTATTAAGTTATAAAGTAATGGTTAGATGACGGTAAAGCAAAAGTAGGACGATGATATTAATCTATCAAGTAATGGTTTGATGACGGTAAAGCAAAAGTAGGACGATGGTATTAAGTTACATGTATAAAGTAATGGTCAGATGACGGTGAAGCAAAAGTAGGACGATGATATTAATCTATCAAGTAATGGTGAGATGACGGTAAAATAATGGTTGAGAGATGGAAATGCTACATATATTGGCACCACTTCGCTAGCACGCAATCAACCGAGGACAAGTTTGAACATTAATCTAATGTAGTCGCCTCCAGGGACAAGCAATATCCGACTCTCCCCGCACAGGCATGGATGGAGGCAAGTCATTGCTGGGGTCTCTCGTCGACCAGAATGTCCGTGTTTAACAGGTGAGCTATTTTCAAGCCAGGTGAATAATCAGTGGCATAAATTGAAGCATATCACACGCACGCACACACACACACACACACACGCACGCACGCACGCACGCACGCACGCACGCACGCACGCACGCGCGCGCGCACACACACACACACACGCGCACGCACGCACGCACGCACGCACGCACGCACGCGCACGCACGCACGCACGCACGCACACACACACACACACACACTCACACACACACACACACACACAGAAACACGCACACAGAAACACTCACACAGAAACACACACAAACACTAACGCACCAACCCACACGCTGAAAGAAACAAAAATATTTGCACAGCTACAAAGTGCCAAATGCCCCTTGTGAAGGGAAAATGTTTGGTAATGCCATTAAACCTTTTAAAAAATTAAGTTACGAGTCTTAAGACTATTTTCCCTGAATTTCCTGGGGGTATAAATCAAATTAATTAGATGAGGATATCTTGGAGAAAGCGATCCTTGAAGTCTCGATCAAGCAAGGCTCTCAATGTTGAATTATGCCTTGCCATCTTAAATCTACGATGGAACGCAAGGGCCACTTCGTCTTTTACGGGATTTTCCATCAAAATGTCTCAGCTATCTATAGAGAAGCACTACGGTATGATATATTTCCACCGCTTAAGTATGTGAGTGAGGTATTTTAACGCCGCTTTAAGTGAGTGAGTGAGTATGGTTTTACGCCGTATTGGGCAATATTCTAGCAATATCATGGCGGAGGACACCAGTACTGGGATTCACACATTGTCTTCGGCATGACGAGCGACCGCTTTAACCACCGGGCTACCCCACCACCCTAGTATTTCAGCTACATAACGGCGTGACAGAGTGTGGGGTGTGTTTGTGTGTGTGTGTGTGTGTGTGTGTGTGTGTGTGTGTGCTAGACAGGACACAGATCCGCGTCTGCTACTCGTACGTACATATATAGAACAAAACAGCCACAGAAATTTCTAAAAATTCAAAATCAAATCATAACAATACGAAAAATTAAATCTTATCAGTACGAAAACTGAAATTTTATCAACACTCAAACTCACAAGAGACATGTGTACCCTACACGTGAGTTCCAAAGAGGGACAGGTCAGCCGAATTACTGAGGCAGATGGCGACCTCTTAAAATTAAACTCGCTACAACGCTACAACAACATGGATGATATCAGCACGTCTGGGTTACACAAAGTACGTATATATTACGTCGCAGAGAGAAACTCCACACTTTCACCTAGATGGCTATGTTCTAAGCAGGAATAGAGTCTGACACACCAGCACACACTGGCTTTGCGTTGTCAGGACCAGGCCCCACAAAGCGATGTTAGCGCTAAGATGATCGTAACTTCTATACTTTAACAAAGGCTTACGATAGTCTTAGCGCTAAGATGATTGTAACTCACATACTATGAAATAGGCTTTAGATAGTCTTAGCGCTAAGATCGCTTTGTGCATGTGGGCCCTGTAGGTGTAGTTGTTCTATTGTTGGAGGCTGAACATGGTCATCTTGCAGAAGACACCAGTGAAGAGAAGTCTGTCAGTACTCTGTCAGTACTCTGTCAGTACTCTGTCAGTACTACGTGGAAGCCAGACAGAGATGAGGCTACACAGAGGGATACTCCATACACCAGTCAACTCGCCGTTTGGCCATCTTGAAGATTTGTTTCAATGTCTCCACAACACATTACATAGCTGAATCTAGTCTTTGAAAGGCATTTAGAAGTGATACACATAAGGAAGAGAATTAACGGATGAGGAACACAACAACTGGTGACAAAAAAACTACAAGAAGTCATTGACATCAGGAGACACCAGCCAGCCATGAATCGTGACCAGGAACCTATCTGCCTTGTGCTTGGGACTAGTGCTTATATTCATAAATAGTGAGTTTGACACCTTTAATTTAGTGTCAGCTGCATCAATTCCTCTTCAGAGATAAGGCAATCCATTTCCCTGTTTGAACAGCAGGCGATGAGATAAGAGAGCTACCGGAGGTGTACTTAGTTATTATTTTTTAAGCTCTACTTTTTAAACAGTCACGTAAACAAGATAAGATGATATTCGTCCTCAGCTACAATTCGATTCATACGATTCATAAATGTTTTGTTCGTGGTTTAGATAGCTTATTGATTAAAGCTAAAATAAGTTAATGAGTTAAAATAACAATTTGTATACTTTTTATTCACCATGTATGTTATGTATTATTCTGAATGTAGTCTGTAAATGTTTGCATAAGATCGAGATGTGGAGATAAACAGCATGTCAACAAAACGAATGCAACGAAATTTTGTATAATTAAAATAAAAACAGGTAGGAGAACTGTTTGAAATTTTATTGCAATTAAACGGTTGTTTTGAACCAAGATCCGCTGAATCACTGCACTTCCACTTTCTAGGTTAAGTTTCCAATTAACTCAGTGCCCACATCCCAGAGAGGGCGATCACGGAGATTTCAACACAAGCATCTGTTAGTTTTTTAATTGATTTTTTAACTTTAAAAAAACTATGGTGCAATTTAAGGGCCATCACCACATAGGTCGGAATCGATGCCACTGTGCTCCGATAGCCAATGCTATAGCAGTGAAGATCACCTAATCAATATCAATACTGATCACCTTATCAACATCAATACGGATCACCTTATCAACATCAATACGGATCACCTTATCAACATCAATACGGCTCACCTTATCAACATCAATACAGATCACCTAATCAACATCAATACAGATCACCTAATCAACATCAATACAGATCACCTAATCAACATCAATACGGATCACCTTATCAACATCAATACGGCTCACCTTATCAACATCAATACAGATCACCTAATCAACATCAATACAGATCACCTAATCAACATCAATACGGATCAACTAATCAACATCAATACATATCACCTAATCAACATCAATACAGATCACCTAATCAACATCAATACAGATCACCTAATCAACATCAATACGGCTCACCTAATCAACATCAATACGGATCAACATCAATACGGATCACCTTATCAACATCAATACAGATCACCTAATCAACATCAATACTGATCACCTAATCAACATCAATACAGATCACCTTATCAATATCAATACTGATCACCTAATTAACATCAATACGGCTCACCTAATCAACATAAATACGGATCAACATCAATACGGATTACCTAATCAACATCAATACTGATCAACTAATCAACATCAACACAGACCAACTAATCAACATCAATACGATTCACCTTATCAACATCAATACTGATCAACTAATCAACATCAATACATATCACCTAATCAACATCAATACTGATCACCTAATCAATATCAATACTGATCACCTAATCAACATCAATACGGATCATCTAATCAACATCAATACTGATCACCTAATCAACATCAATACTGATCACCTAATCAACATCAATACGGGTCACCTAATCAACATCAATACTGATCACCTAATCAACATCAATACGGATCAACTAATCAACATCAATACATATCATCTAATCAACATCAATACTGATCAACTAATCAACATCAATACTGATCACCTAATCAACATCAATACTGATCACCTAATCAACATCAATACAGATCACCTAATCAATATCAATACTGATCACCTAATCAACATCAATACGGATCACCTAATCAACATCAATACTGATCACCTAATCAACATCAAAACGGCTCACCTAATCAACATCAATACAGACCACCTAATCAACATCAATACGGATCAACTAATCAACATCAATACATATCATCTAATCAACATCAATACTGATCAACTAATCAACATCAATACTGATCACCTAATCAACATCAATACTGATCAAATAATCATCATCAATACTGATCACCTAATCAACATCAATACAGATCACCTAATCAACATCAATACTGATCAACTAATCAACATCAATACATATCACCTAATCAACATCAATACTGATCACCTAATCAACATCAATACAGATCACCTAATCAATATCAATACTGATCACCTAATCAACATCAATACGGATCACCTAATCAACATCAATACTGATCACCTAATCAACATCAAAACGGCTCACCTAATCAACATCAATACTGATCACCTAATCAACATCAATACGGATCACCTGATCAACATCAATACTGATCACCTAATCAACATCAATACGGATCACCTGATCAACATCAATACTGATCACCTAATCAACATCAATACTGATCACCTAATAATCATCAATACATATCACCTAATCAACATCAATACTGATCAACTAATCAACATCAATACTGATCACCTAATCAACATCAATACTGATCAAATAATCAACATCAATACGGATCACCTTATCAACATCAAAACTGATCAACTAATTAACATCAATACGGATCACCTAATCAACATCAAAACTGATCAACTAATTAACATCAATACAGACCACCTAATCAACATCAATACGGATCACCTAATCAACATCAATACTGATCAACTAATCAACATCAACACAGACTAACTAATCAACATCAATACAGATCACCTAATCATCATCAATACGGATCACCTAATTAACATCAAAACTGATCAACTAATCAACATCAATACGGATCACCTAATCAACATCAATACTGATCACCTAATCAACATCAAAACGGCTCACCTAATCAACATCAATACTGATCAACTAATCAACATCAATACGGATCACCTTATCAACATCAAAACTGATCAACTAATCAACATCAATACGGATCACCTAATCAACATCAATACGGCTCACCTAATCAACATCAATACTGATCAACTAATCAACATCAATACGGATCAACTAATCAACATCAATACGGATCAACTAATCAACATTAATACGCATCACCTAATCAACATCAATACGGCTCACCTAATCAACATCAATACGGATCAACTAATCAACATCCGTACAGATCACCTAATCAACATCAATACTGATCACATAATCAACATCCGTACAGATCACCTAATCAACATCAATACGGATCACCTAATCAACATCAATACTGATCAACACCACTAATTATACACATCAACTGACCAACACCACTAGCTGTTTATACAGATCAACTGATCACGGCCAATACTGATCAAAACCACTAATAGTAATGATCAACTGATCAACACCGCTATCAATACTGATGAACTGATCAACACCGATACTGAAACCTAAACCACTATTAATGCTGAACCAACACCATAATGTATCACAGATCAGCTGACCAATACCAACAGGTCACACTGACCATCCTGATTATTGACCCTCCGTAAACCTGAGGGTCAAATTCAAATAAAACGGCGGTTTCTGTTACAGTGTGGTGCTGGCAGTAAAGGAGGTATTATATTTCCTGGAACGGGACTTGCTACGGGTTTCGCTCTTGTGTAATTTCCTGTCAAAGACGTCCACACCACCACACCTTTGAAATCAAAACGCGAGAGAAAAGAGCCCCGACCGGTCTGAGAAGTACTATCCGGCCCGTCTTTCAGCGTTTAATTCCACTGGACAAACGTCTCCCATCGTTTCCACAGATGCAATGAAAATATCCGTGTTTTTGTACAAGGTTTTATTTGGAAACTTCCCCCATCCGACCCTATGAAAACACAACCCTCCCCAGAAAACTATCTCAGCAATCTAGGCAATGATACTGATTAAATTCCATCATCTCTTTCAAATTCTTTCGGGCCTTCCTCTATTTAGCACCTAGATTGCGTCTCGGTGGCCGTTGGCTTTCATCTTTGTTGCAATAAAAGCTGGGTCCTTGTGAAATTTTCCAGGAAAAAGTGTGATTGAAGTCGTTTTTTCTTAGGAAGAGCCTGGTCATAGTAGTACCGGTGGATGCTAAAAGGTCGTGTTGATGCTCTAACCCAAAAGAAGAAAACACAATATTATCTTTTCTCTCCCTGCGCTTTGGGCTTTAATAATACTGACCAAATGCCTTTCTTTGTATGAAGCAGCATTTGTAGCCGCGTCCCTGTCAATACGGTCTATTCACGTAGTGTTAGTTCGTTCAATGGTTGCCTTGGTTTGTGATTGCGCAAGTGTACTGCGCATGCGCAGTGGGGTAGCGTACTATTGTTTTGAAGAGTCCTGAGGCTGATGTATAAGATGCCGAGGTTCTGACCGAGGACCCAGATGCTAAGCAGATGAGCTGCCAGACTGAGATGGATGATCCCCAGGGAGTTGAGATGGCGAGGTAGAGAGGACTGATCGTGTGATTGAGATAGATAAACAGAAGCACCACTAGCATATGCAGCTGTGGCAGTTGCTGAGATGGAGTCAAGTAGAACAGAAAACCGAGAGAGTGAGTGAGTTGGGTTTAACGCCGCTTTGTACAGTATTCAGTATGACGGCTTGCCACCTTGATGTGGAAGGTAATCCTGCAGTGATCTGGGCCTCAGATGCTTACCACTTTGGTGGAACCTACCAACATGGGTATGGTGCTGACATGCGTTAAAATACAGTCGGGGTGAACAGGGATTCCAACCAACTAGGAGAGCTTTTGGGCACGTCTTAGATGCGCAGCTCAGTCAGGAGAATTGCAGCGCATTGGACGACTGGAGCACGGGTGCAACCAAATAGCACGTGACGCATCGGCCTTCAGCAACCCATTGCTTGCTGTAGAAGGCGACAATGCTTGTCGTGAGACGCGACTTGCGGGATCGACTGGTTAGGCTCCCTAACTTCGTTGATGCATGTCATCGTATCCTAATTGCTTGGATCGATGCTCTGGATATCAATCACTGGACATTGCGGCATTAAACAACAAACAAACAATCAAACGAGTGGCGTCAACGAGTATTATTTAATTGTGTGAGTATGGGTTTGTACCCAATTTAAAATTTTCCAGTCATATCTCAGTGGAAAACACCAATTCTGGGCTTCCCGAATGGACCCATTACGAGGAAATGAAGCCGGGCTCCTGTAATTGTTGCTCGTGTAACGCCACACTCGGCATTATTCCAACTCAATGGCGGCCTGTCATCAAATCTGAAATCTGAAGTCACTCCAGTTTGTATAGCATGTGTCCAAGTTTAGTACCAATTAATCTTAGACACCACACCTAAAGCGTCATGATAATCATATTCCATAAATGTGGATATAATCAGAGCGTTAGACACCACAGCTAAAGCGTCATGATAATCACATTCCATAAATGTGGATATAATCAGAGCGTTAGACACCACACCTAAAGCGTCATGATAATCACATTCCATAAATGTGGATATAATCAGAGCGTTAGACACCACACCTAAAGCGTCATGATAATCACATTCCATAAATGTGGATATAACCAGAGCATTAGACACCACACCTTAAGCGTCATGATAATCATATTCCATACATTTGGATATAATCAGAGCGTTAGACACCACACCTAAAACGTCCTTTGATAATCATATTCCATACAATTGAATATAATCAGAGGGCTTCCTCGATTCTTGGCGTATTGAACTTGCAGCGTACGATGGTAGGATCTCAAACAGTAACCAAAGCATGTTTGTACAAACATAACGCCAACAATATCACTAAAACAGTGACAGTGCCTTAAAAACATCTCACACAACATCCTAAGCTCGATTCTTTATATGCACCTAAGCGATAAAAGCACCCAAAGCAACATACATATTTGATAATGGATCTATTGCAGACTCGTAGTTTATCGTTATCGTGAGTTAA